ATCCAGCAGCTTGAGGAGACATGGCAGCGTTTAGAGAACACTCAGCAGCTTGAGGAGACATGGCAAGGTTTAGAGAACACTCAGCAGCTTGAGGAGACATGGCAGCGTTTAGAGAACACTCAGCAGCTTGAGGAGACATGGCAGCATTTAGAGAACATCCAGCAGCTTGAGGAGACATGGCAGCGTTTAGAGAACATCCAGCAGCTTGAGGAGACATGGGAGCGTTTAGAGAACATCCAGCAACTTGAGGAGACATGGCAGCGTTTAGAGAACACTCAGCAGCTTGAGGAGACATGGCAGCGTTTAGAGAACACTCAGCAGCTTGAGGAGACATGGCAGCGTTTAGAGAACACTCAGCAGCTTGAGGAGACATGGCAGCGTTTAGAGAACATCCAGCAGCTTGAGGAGACATGGCAGCGTTTAGAGAACATCCAGCAGCTTGAGGAGACATGGCAGCATTTAGAGAACATCCAGCAGCTTGAGGAGACATGGGAGCGTTTAGAGAACACTCAGCAGCTTGAGGAGACATGGCAGCATTTAGAGAACATCCAGCAGCTTGAGGAGACATGGCAGCGTTTAGAGAACACTCAGCAGCTTGAGGAGACATGGCAGCGTTTAGAGAACATCCAGCAACTTGAGGAGACATGGCAGCGTTTAGAGAACATTCAGCAGCTTGAGGAGACATGGCAGCGTTTAGAGAACATTCAGCAGCTTGAGGAGACATGGCAGCGTTTAGAGAACATTCAGCAGCTTGAGGAGACATGGCAGCGTTTAGAGAACACTCAGCAGCTTGAGGAGACATGGCAGCATTTAGAGAACATCCAGCAGCTTGAGGAGACATGGCAGCGTTTAGAGAACATCCAGCAGCTTGAGGAGACATGGGAGCGTTTAGAGAACATCCAGCAACTTGAGGAGACATGGCAGCGTTTAGAGAACACTCAGCAGCTTGAGGAGACATGGCAGCATTTAGAGAACACTCAGCAGCTTGAGGAGACATGGCAGCGTTTAGAGAACATCCAGCAGCTTGAGGAGACATGGCAGCGTTTAGAGAACACTCAGCAGCTTGAGGAGACATGGCAGCGTTTAGAGAACACTCAGCAGCTTGAGGAGACATGGCAGCGTTTAGAGAACACTCAGCAGCTTGAGGAGACATGGCAGAGTTTAGAGAACATCCAGCAGCTTGAGGAGACATGGCAGCGTTTAGAGAACATCCAGCAGCTTGAGGAGACATGGCAGCGTTTAGAGAACACTCAGCAGCTTGAGGAGACATGGCAGCGTTTAGAGAACACTCAGCAGCTTGAGGAGACATGGCAGCGTTTAGAGAACACTCAGCAGCTTGAGGAGACATGGCAGCGTTTAGAGAACATCCAGCAGCTTGAGGAGACATGGCAGCGTTTAGAAAACATCCAGCAGCTTGAGGAGACATGGGAGCGTTTAGAGAACATCCAGTAACTTGAGGAGACATGGCAGCGTTTAGAGAACACTCAGCAGCTTGAGGAGACATGGCAGCGTTTAGAGAACATCCAGCAGCTTGAGGAGACATGGCAGCGTTTAGAGAACATCCAGCAGCTTGAGGAGACATGGCAGCGTTTAGAGAACATCCAGCAGCTTGAGGAGACATGGCAGCATTTAGAGAACACTCAGCAGCTTGAGGAGACATGGCAGCGTTTAGAGAACATCCAGCAGCTTGAGGAGACATGGCAGCGTTTAGAGAACACTCAGCAGCTTGAGGAGACATGGCAGCGTTTAGAGAACACTCAGCAGCTTGAGGAGACATGGCAGCGTTTAGAGAACACTCAGCAGCTTGAGGAGACATGGCAGCATTTAGAGAACATCCAGCAGCTTGAGGAGACATGGCAGCGTTTAGAGAACATCCAGCAGCTTGAGGAGACATGGCAGCGTTTAGAGAACATCCAGCAACTTGAGGAGACATGGCAGCGTTTAGAGAACACTCAGCAGCTTGAGGAGACATGGCAGCGTTTAGAGAACACTCAGCAGCTTGAGGAGACATGGCAGCGTTTAGAGAACATCCAGCAGCTTGAGGAGACATGGCAGCATTTAGAGAACATCCAGCAGCTTGAGGAGACATGGGAGCGTTTAGAGAACATCCAGCAACTTGAGGAGACATGGCAGCGTTTAGAGAACATTCAGCAGCTTGAGGAGACATGGCAGCGTTTAGAGAACATTCAGCAGCTTGAGGAGACATGGCAGCGTTTAGAGAACACTCAGCAGCTTGAGGAGACATGGCAGCATTTAGAGAACATCCAGCAGCTTGAGGAGACATGGCAGCGTTTAGAGAACATCCAGCAGCTTGAGGAGACATGGGAGCGTTTAGAGAACATCCAGCAACTTGAGGAGACATGGCAGCGTTTAGAGAACACTCAGCAGCTTGAGGAGACATGGCAGCATTTAGAGAACACTCAGCAGCTTGAGGAGACATGGCAGCGTTTAGAGAACATCCAGCAGCTTGAGGAGACATGGCAGCGTTTAGAGAACACTCAGCAGCTTGAGGAGACATGGCAGCGTTTAGAGAACACTCAGCAGCTTGAGGAGACATGGCAGCGTTTAGAGAACACTCAGCAGCTTGAGGAGACATGGCAGCGTTTAGAGAACATCCAGCAGCTTGAGGAGACATGGCAGCGTTTAGAGAACATCCAGCAGCTTGAGGAGACATGGGAGCGTTTAGAGAACATCCAGTAACTTGAGGAGACATGGCAGCGTTTAGAGAACACTCAGCAGCTTGAGGAGACATGGCAGCGTTTAGAGAACATCCAGCAGCTTGAGGAGACATGGCAGCGTTTAGAGAACATCCAGCAGCTTGAGGAGACATGGCAGCGTTTAGAGAACACTCAGCAGCTTGAGGAGACATGGCAGCGTTTAGAGAACACTCAGCAGCTTGAGGAGACATGGCAGCGTTTAGAGAACACTCAGCAGCTTGAGGAGACATGGCAGCATTTAGAGAACATCCAGCAGCTTGAGGAGACATGGCAGCGTTTAGAGAACATCCAGAAGCTTGAGGAGACATGGGAGCGTTTAGAGAACATCCAGCAACTTGAGGAGACATGGCAGCGTTTAGAGAACACTCAGCAGCTTGAGGAGACATGGCAGCGTTTAGAGAACACTCAGCAGCTTGAGGAGACATGGCAGCGTTTAGAGAACATCCAGCAGCTTGAGGAGACATGGCAGCGTTTAGAGAACACTCAGCAGCTTGAGGAGACATGGCAGAGTTTAGAGAACACTCAGCAGCTTGAGGAGACATGGCAGCGTTTAGAGAACATCCAGCAGCTTGAGGAGACATGGCAGCGTTTAGAGAACACCCAGCAGCTTGAGGAGACATGGCAGCGTTTAGAGAACACTCAGCAGCTTGAGGAGACATGGCAGCGTTTAGAGAACATCCAGCAGCTTGAGGAGACATGGCAGCGTTTAGAGAACATCCAGCAGCTTGAGGAGACATGGCAGCGTTTAGAGAACACTCAGCAGCTTGAGGAGACATGGCAGCGTTTACAGAACATCCAGCAGCTTGAGGAGACAAGGCAGCGTTTAGAGAACACTCAGCAGCTTGAGGAGACATGATAGCGTTTAGAGAACACTCAGCAGCTTGAGGAGACATGGCAGCGTTTAGAGAACATCCAGCAGCTTGAGGAGACATGGCAGCGTTTAGAGAACACTCAGCAGCTTGAGGAGACATGGCAGCGTTTAGAGACTATGACGCAACATCACTCGGGCTCTGGGCGTTGTGAACAAAACGGGGGCTGAAAATAAAAAACGGTTTTGAACCAGAAGAGTGCGGAGCACGGAGCTAGAACTGAAGCTGCGTTGGTGTGAAAGGGGCATCAGGCTCCTTTAGACAAAGAGTCTCCTGTAACAGGAGCCAGTATGGGGGAGGGGGTTTAAACCATGACCCAGGGGGGTTAAAAACAGTAATGTAAAAGAATAACCTGACTGACATAATAACATGTTCCCCCACCTTCAGACAGAAGCTGCTCCACCCAATGACACTCTGCAAACTCTATGAACCAACCTGCCATGACAACATGTAACACCATCTGTGTTTCCATCAAAGAAACAGGGTCCCACGACTTTATGAGGTTAGACTGCCATCAGTCCTGAAATCAAATCCAAAGTTTAGTCCCAGATCAAAAGTACATTCGAGGGTTTTGAAGATATTGTATTGGATCGTATCATAACATATATCTCACTACGTGTTCAGTGAGGTACGCTCCACTTCCTCTGGGGTTCTCTATGGCATTGTACGGCCCTGTGTTCGTATAGCATCTTTTCCTGAGCTCCAGTGTCTGTGCTGCCGCTCCGAGCACTTCAAGTTCAAAACATTTCGAATCAGCGTCTTGTCACTATAGACATTGGAGAAGAAGCTTGTTTTGACCGTGTCTCTCAGACGGGAACCATCAGAACGAAGCCTGAACGCCCGTCTGTTGAAGCGGATCCATCAGACGGCCGCTGGATGCTGCTGTCATCGATTCTGTGACGTTAATATGTACACGTGTTTATCTCTGTATGTGGATCGTCCACCTCTCTTTACAGCTGTCACACTGAAGCTCATTCATACAGGTTTTCAGAGCAAGCTATCTTACTGTCGCTGCTCATGGTGGAACAAGAATATCAAAAAGCAAGGGACGATGCTAGTCCGTATAACAGCGGTAATACGAGGTCAAGATATTGCTGTCATAAATAAAACATAAATCAGTCAAATGCAGCCTGAGTTACAGAAGGAGGATCCCTGAAGGATGACGTCAGTGAGCTGCAGACAGAAGGTAAAAGCAGCAGCTCAGAGTTTCAGCTCAGTGAGGAGAGCAGCACCTCACACACTCTGGATCTCTGTATTATACACATTGATATAGGACGCTCAGTTTGGATCATCTGTCTAATGTGTTCTCATGATGAAGAACATGTGTTCACTGTTATTGCCATGTTTAAAGTGACATCTACATCCAGGTAATGCACTGCTCATGTTGTGATGCTTGAAGAACCACAGGAGGATCATGGTGAACTCTACTCACATTTCATATTTCACTCTTGCTGCATACTTCGACACGGGGGTTTTTAAGTACTTGTTCTTCACGATTGTCATGTGTTTATATGTGTGTATTATAGGTGCCAACGTGTTGCTGATTGTGGTTATCTGTGTGAACAGGAGCTTACATGAACCTATGTACCTTTTTCTGTGCAGCCTGTTTGTAAATGAACTGTATGGTAGTACAGGGTTGTTTCCATTCCTTCTGGTTCAGATCCTCTCTGACATCCACACTGTCTCTGCTCCGCTCTGCTTCCTGCAGGTTTTCTCTGTGCATACATACGGCAGTGTGGAACTGTTTACCTTAGGAATCATGTCTTATGACAGGTATCTTGCTATCTGTCATCCTCTGCAATATAACACACGTATGACTTCTAACAGGGTTGCGTTCCTCACGGTGTTTGTGTGGGTGTACAGTGTTCTGGCGAGTGTGGTCATGATGTCTCTGAGCGTCCCTTTGCAGCTGTGTGGGAACATCATTAACAAAGTGTACTGTGATAACTACTCCATTGTTAAGCTGGCCTGCTCTGACACTACAGTCATTAATGTATGTGGACTGGTTTACATATTCACCGTGATAGTAGCTCTTATAATACTGATCGTGTACTCGTACATGAGGATCCTCAGAGTGTGTTTCTCTGGCTGTAAGCAGAGCAGACAGAAAGCTGTCAGCACCTGCACCCCTCACCTCGCTTCCCTCATCAACTTCTCCTTCGGGGCTTTCTTTGAGATAGTGCAGGGCAGGTTTAATATGAGGAAAATACCCAATATTGTGAGAATTATCTTATCGTCGTACTGGCTCTCATGCCAACCGCTCTTCAACCCTTTATTGTACGGACTGAATGTAACCAAAATACGTGACATTTGCAGGAGTCTTGCTTTTTGGTAAAATAATGTGCAGAACTTCTTGTGTATCTTACAAATTAGACACCCTGATGATAGTGATAATGGTTCGATGATTCAAAATAAAACGTGGATTGATCATGAATGCTGGTGGTGAATGTTTAAAGGCCGTATAGTAGGGATACGTCAGTGTCTGCACCGTGAGGATCGGTCATGCACATACTCTATGTGAGAAGTGCTCATGATCTAATGTAACTCAGACCTTTAGAATATTTACACCAATATCAGTCAATTTGCACTTGTTCTAGATGTTGATTCTTTACCGCTGTTTGAGAAAAATATAAATCTGATCTTCTTAAACTCTCCTTTGTCATACTCTAATACAGCATCTATTCCAAAAAGATATAATCAAGCAAGTTTAGTTTTTAACAGATAAAATATATGAACACAACTATTAATATTCATTCAATCACAAATAGGGGTTGATACTTAGTCACACGAAAGATAAGTGCTTAAAGTACATTTAAATGCCTATCATATGGAATTGATATTCAAAAGTATTTTGTATTTAATGTAATTATTATATTAATTAATATAACTCAATGTACATCAAGTCACCTCACAGGGGGGCACCACTTTATATCTCAACTGGTCAGGCCTCGGGACCCACTTTTACTTAAAGTGAAGTACAGTGCATATTTCCCTTATATCCCTTCACAGAACTAAAGTATGCTTTAAAGGTTTAATGAGATGATGGAATCAAAGCTGAACTGTTTAACATAAAAAGACACACATGCTGAAAACCCAACCCCAGCAGGGGGTCTGGGGGTATTCTCCCCCAGGAGATGTAATACTAACATATAAACTACGCATTCTGGTACACTCTGAGAAAAAAAAATAAAAATCTATTATTACCCGACATATTAATAATATGTGATGCCATTGTTTGTTTCTCACTTTGTTCTGACAGCTTGCTGCTCCTCACAGAGAGAGAGCAAAGAGGGGAGAGTCTGTGAAGTACTTTGTGGGTAAGGGGAGATAGCCCCCATTGTTCTGCGACCTGTCAGTCATCAGACCGGGGGTCATATTTCATTATGTGTTCATTTGTATCTGAAGTTGTACCCATGGATGTATAAAGAATAGTTCTACGGCAAAGTTATTCTCCGTGGGGACTTCCGGCAACAATCTTCTTGATTCTGATTGGCCAGAAGACTCGAGAAAACATCAAAGATGTTTCGTTGAAAAGATGATCACTACGTGTCAGAAGTTTCCGGTACTTCCAGTCCAACGCCGACTGCATGATATGCGTTAGAACATCGGGCCTTCAAAATAAAAGTTTGACTTTTTTCCAAAAAACAAAAAAAGATATTGTTTTTATTTTCAACTTTTTATTTTCTTCACTCACACATCTGTGACCCACTCGAAACGGGTCCGCGACCCACTTTTGGGTCGCGACCCACCAGTTGAGAAGCACTGGACTAACTAATGAAGTCTGTTCTGCAATATGAATTTATAATTACATATCAATAAAGTAAAGGTTAATGGATTAAGGAATTCTTGTTTAATCAAGGTTGTCAATAATCAGTCTTGCATGATATTAAAAAACAGAAATGTAAGATTTTCAGAAAAAACTCTGTATTTAGAAAATGTTTAAACTTTGTTGACTTTCAACAAAAAAGTCAGAAACTTCAGAGAAGAAGAAGCAAGTTTCAAGTTTCAAGTCTTTATCATCATGTGCTCAGCAGCTACAGTGTAGTTATGGCAATGAAAAACTGAAGGCTCCTCCAACAGAGCAACATGAATATATATAGGACATAAAACAAATAAAACAGATAAAATAGTGCAATAGAATGTTTTGAGATGCGCAAGTAAATACAAATAAAATAGAAAATAGTGCAAGAATATATACAAGTAAATGGAATATTACTTGAAAAGACGACACAAGTTGGATCTGGTGGGGAGGTGGAGCGTTACCAGTTAGATCTGGTGGAGCGTTACCAGTTGGATCTGGTGGAGAGTTACCAGTTGGATCTGGTGGAGAGTTACCAGTTGGATCTGGTGGAGAGTTACCAGTTGGATCTGGTGGAGAGTTACCAGTTGGATCTGGTGGGGAGGTGGAGCATTACCAGTTGGATCTTTTGGAGCGTTACCAGTTGGATCTGATGGAGGGTTACCAGTTGGATCTGGTGGGGAGGTGGAGTGTTACCAGTTGGATCTGGTGGAGTGTTACCAGTTGGATCTGGTGGAGAGTTACCAGTTGGATCTGGTGGGGAGGTGGAGCATTACCAGTTGGATCTTTTGGAGCGTTACCAGTTGGATCTGGTGGAGAGTTACCAGTTGGATCTGGTGGGTAGGTGGAGCATTACCAGTTGGATCTTTTGGAGCGTTACCAGTTGGATCTGGTGGGGAGGTGGAGTGTTACCAGTTGGATCTGGTGGAGTGTCACCAGTTGGATCTGGTGGAGAGTTACCAGTTGGATCTGGTGGAGAGTTACCAGTTGGATCTGGTGGAGAGTTACCAGTTGGATCTGGTGGGTAGGTGGAGCATTACCAGTTGGATCTTTTGGAGCGTTACCGGTTGGATCTGGTGGGGAGGTGGAGCGTTACCAGTTGGATTTGGTGGAGAGGTGGAGCGTTACCAGTTGGATCTGGTGGAGAGTTACCAGTTGGATCTGGTGGGGAGGTGGAGCGTTACCAGTTGGATCTGGTGGGGAGGTGGAGTGTTACCAGTTGGATTTGGTGGAGAGGTGGAGCGTTACCAGTTGGATTTGGTGGAGCGTTACCAGTTGGATTTGGTGGGTAGGTGGAGCGTTACCAGTTGGATCTGGTGGGGAGGTGGAGCGTTACCAGTTGGATCTGGTGGAGCGTTACCAGTTGGATTTGGTGGAGAGTTACCAGTTGGATCTGGTGGGTAGGTGGAGCATTACCAGTTGGATCTGGTGGGGACGTGGAGTGTTACCAGTTGGATTTGGTGGAGCGTTACCAGTTGGATTTGGTGGAGCGTTACCAATTGGATCTGGTGGAGAGGTGGAGCGTTACCAGTTGGATTTGGTGGAGCGTTACCAGTTGGATTTGGTGGAGCGTTACCAGTTGGATTTGGTGGAGAGGTGGAGCGTTACCAGTTGGATTTGGTGGAGCGTTACCAGTTGGATTTGGTGGGTAGGTGGAACGTTACCAGTTGGATTTGGTGGAGCGTTACCAGTTGGATTTGGTGGAGCGTTACCAATTGGATCTGGTGGAGAGGTGGAGCGTTACCAGTTGGATTTGGTGGAGCGTTACCAGTTGGATTTGGTGGGTAGGTGGAACGTTACCAGTTGGATCTGGTGGAGCGTTACCAGTTGGATTTGGTGGAGAGTTACCAGTTGGATCTGGTGGAGAGTTACCAGTTGGATCTGGTGGGTAGGTGGAGCATTACCAGTTGGATCTTTTGGAGCGTTACCAGTTGGATCTGGTGGAGAGTTACCAGTTGGATCTGGTGGGGACGTGGAGTGTTACCAGTTGGATCTGGTGGAGTGTTACCAGTTGGATCTGGTGGAGCATTACCAGTTGGATCTTTTGGAGCGTTACCAGTTGGATCTGGTGGGGAGGTGGAGCGTTACCAGTTGGATCTGGTGGGGAGGTGGAGCGTTACCAGTTGGATTTGGTGGAGCGTTACCAGTTGGATTTGGTGGGTAGGTGGAGCGTTACCAGTTGGATCTGGTGGGGAGGTGGAGCGTTACCAGTTGGATCTGGTGGAGCGTTACCAGTTGGATTTGGTGGGGAGGTGGAGCATTACCAGTTGGATCTGGTGGGGAGGTGGAGCGTTATCTGTTGGATCTGGTGGGGATGTGGACTGTTACCAGTTGGATCTGGTGGAGCGTTACCAGTTGGATTTGGTGGAGCGTTACCAGTTGGATTTGGTGGGGAGGTGGAGCGTTAGCAGTTGGATCTGGTGGAGCATTAACAGTTGGATTTGGTGGGGAGGAGGAGCGTTACCAGTTGGATCTGGTTGGGCTCACCTCTACGCACAGCGTCGGCTCTGGAACCTTACTTTTTGATAGGGGTTGGACTCTATTCTTCTCCGGAGTTGCTCAAGGTGTGAGGCGCTGGGCGGGTGTGGAGATACTCACAAGCCCACGGTTGGGTGCTGCTTTGTTGGAGTTTACCCCAGTGGACGAGAGGGTCGCCTCCCTACGCCTGGGGGTTATGAGGGGGAAAACTCTGACTGTTGGGTGTGCTTATAATAATAATAATAAATTCGATTTATAAAGCACCTTTCATTGCTAACAGCAATCCCAAGGTGCTACAGGAGGCATAATAAAAAATAAAAATAAACAAAAGTTTAATCAAAAGCTTTTTTTAAAAGAAAGGTTTTTAAGCCTTTCTTGAAGGCGTCAGTGGTCTGTGGGGTCCTCAGGTGGTCTGGGAGGAAATTCCATAGGTGAGGAGCAGCTGCACAGAGAGCCCGATCCCCCATTGTGCGGGGTTTGGTCCTCGGGGGGCGAAGCCGATGGTTGGTTGTGGAACGGAGGTTGCGTGTGGAGGCTTGTGATGTGAGAAGTTCCTTTAGGTATGGAGGAGCGTTCCCATGGATGCATTGATGGGTCAGTAGTGCGATCTTGTATTTGATCCTGAATGAGACAGGAAGCCAGTGGAGGGAATGAAGAACGGGTGTGATGTGGTTGTATTTTCTCACCCTCATCAGGATCCTAGCGGCACTGTTCTGTACGTATTGGAGCTTCTGAAGGCTCCCGCTAGGAGTCCCGATGAGGAGAGCGTTGCAGTAGTCGAGCCTTGAGGAGACGAAGGCATGGACCAGTTCAGCATCTGACAGGGAGAGTGTAGGACGGATGTTCCTGAGGTGGTAGAAGGAGGTTTTGCACAGGTGTTTGATGTGGGTGTCAAAGGTCAAATGCCTGTCAAATCTTACACCCAGGTTGGTAACTGCTGTGGAGAGGGGTATGTTTTGGCCAGAAAAGGTGATGTGGGTTATGGGGGATGACTGGACCTGGTTTGGTGTGCCAACTAAAATAGCTTCCGTTTTGGAGATATTAAGCTGCAAGAAGTTTTGTTGCACCAAACAGCAGTTCAGAGTATTCGGCCTTCTTGGAGACCCTGAAAAGAGTCCTGTATGGGGCTCCTGAAGGGGACTCCTTAGTCTTGCTGGTAGACTTCAAAGCACATGTGGGCAATAATGGAGACACTTGGAGGGGCGTGATTGTGAGGAACGCCCCCTCCTTTGGACACTCGGGTAAAGAGCGAGGCGGAGAACTGATCCCCATCTGGTGGTGAGTTGGGTGCAATGGGGGTGGTGGCCTCTGGACAGACCTGGTAAGCCCAAATGTGTAGTGTGGGTGCACTGGGAACGTCTGGAGGAGTCCCAAGTCCAGGAGGCCTTCAACTCACACCTCCGGCGGAGCTTTTCAGGCATCCCTGTGGAGGCTGGGGACATTGAACCAGAGTGAGCGGTGTTCAAAGCCTCTATTTCCGAAACCCCGGCGGGGAGATTTGGTCTCAAGGTCTTAGGTGCCTCAAGGTAACCCTCGAACCTCCTGGTGGACACCGGTGGTGAGGGAATGCTCCGGTTTTGGGACAAAATTAACATGGGATCACTCCGGTCATTGTACGTACTTCGTCTCACTGGAATATTAACGGTCAGATTGAATACAACATCGACCGAATTTCTCCGGTCAATGACGGGAGAGTTTTGAAAGTGACAAAACCCTGTTCCACACATTTAAAAACACTTAAACAATTAAACAACGTTTACCCAGGATTCAGGCACCTTCCCTGGCTTGTAAAATGCGGTGATGCGCCCTGGAGGTATCGGACTATTTAAAACATGTATACCCAGGATTCAATCACTTTTCCTGGCTTGTAAAGTGCTGTGAAGCAGCCTGTTCTCTGGGTGCAGTCTGGGTGCAAGAGCCATGGGCTGCAAGGATCTCTATGGGTGTCCTCTGTGGGTCTCACAGCCTGCTTGTCTCTGGGTGCACTCTCCCTCTATTCACACCACTTTTCCCAAGGTTTCAAAGGCTTATTTTGGGTAGAAAAGCCATGTGCATCACCCTGGATCTCTGCATATGTGCCTGTGAGTCTGAGACCCTGCTAACAGCAGTGGCTCAGCTGTTTGTATGTTCTTGTGCATTTTCATGAGTTAAATTTAAAGCAGTATTTTGTACCCTACTCACCATTTCATCATTCTGTTCAGATTTATTTCTCTGTCCCCCCAAAAATGGATTGGCAGAAGAGCGTTCATGTTTAAAGCCCCAACTGACTGGAATACTTGACCTGCTGCTATTAGATCTCTGTCATCATTGGGTTTATTTAAACCTGCATTATCATCTCACTTTCAACTGCTCTGCACTTGTTATTAATGAAACTGATATTGATGAAACTGATTTGCTTGACTGTCTCAAATTGTAATGATTGTATGCATTACTTGAATTTCACTTAACAGACTGTATGTGGTTTGTCTTGTGTGTCATGTTTTGCATTTTGTCTTTTTGTTTATGTATGTCTCAAAGTTGTTGCTATTGTCGGGACCCCCTTGAAAAAGAGATGGTGCATCTCAAGGGGTTTATCCCAATGAATACCATTTCTAATAAAAAATGTGGACGAAATGGACAGTTTTCTGTCCATATCACTGCATGTTTATGCAGTCAAATGTACATTTGAATTAAAACAGTTTAATGCACTTTTAACACTCATCTACCCATGATTCAAGCTGCTTTCCTGGGTTACAAAATGTTGTGAAGCAGCCTGGATCTCTGTATATGTGCCTGTGAGTCTGACACCCTGCTAACAGCAGTGACTCTGCTTCCAGTATTATGAACAGATTGATCAGTTTTAACACTCATCTACCCATGATTCAAGCTGCTTTCCTGGGTTATAAATGTACAGTCTGGGTGGAAGAGCCACCTGCTTCTACGTGGAGCTCTCTGTGAGTCTCTCACACCCCACTTCTCTCTGGGTCCGACCTGCCTCTATTCACACAGCTCACACATAAAAGGGGGGTTGTTGTGCCCTGGGTCTATGGGTCTGTCTGGGTCTCTGGGTCTCTGTGGGTCTCATATCCTGCTTCTCCGGGGTGCTGGTGTTGAGAGCTTCATAGTATGAAGTGAATACTTAAAACGAAAGTTAATTATAAATCATATATGAAGTGGATACTTAAAACGAAAGTTAATTATAAATCATATATGATCAATCATATTCTTGTATGAACCCATAATGAGAATGCTTCATATTTTAGGTTTTTCTATATTTACAGCATAAACAAAACACCAGTGGTTTGTTAAGTTGAGTGTAAGACCTATAAATGATTTATGCCTTACTCTCTGATAAGAGAGTAGGCAATTTTTTCCCTCTCCTCTCACAGCAGTACACAGGGAGGGGGGCTCCTGACTTAAGGAGAAACACATTGAGGCCTCAAAAAGGTGGTTATGTCATAGCCATAGAATATGTCGGGTCATGTTTTTTTTTTTACACAAACATGGGAAGGTGTGTCTTATGCCATAGCCAATAGAAGATGTTGGTTGGGAATAGAGGAGGTGTTTTTTTGGGGTTTCGATCCGGTTTTTTGAGCATAAAGAGACTGGTTTTCTGAGAGAGCGCGAGAGAGAGGGGGAAACCCCTGGTATACTCTCTCCCGGTGGGCTCTGGCCCTCAGAGCTGGGTAAATAGCTCTCGGTAAGCTTGCCTGGAATGCGTAATTATTACGTACAGGACCTTATGACTAATAATTCTAGTTAGACCTTGCCTGAAATGCGTGATTATTACGTACAGGCCTTATGACTAATAATTCTAGTTAGACCTTGCCTGGAATGCGTGATTATTACGTAGAGGACCTTATGACTAATAATTCTAGTTAGACCTTGCCTGGAAAACATGAAAATGTATCAGGATTTTAGAACTAATTAGAAAACCTACGTCATCACGAGGAAATTATTTTTGAATTTCGTCGGAAGACTTTAAATGGGAGAAATATGAATTAAGGTTTTAGATAAAAAATATAACCCCAGCATGATATGTTTCGTATGATTATAATGTGTTAAAGAGAGAAGGTAAAAACCCTGTATTAGTTTGGACCTATTTTTCTTCAAATAAACTGATCTCACCTTTTGGACTGGGACAACTAAAAGAAAATCTGTGCTCTCCTCTCCTGCTTCAAAGGTAACATTGCACCTTGCCACACTCACGTTTAGGTAGGACCACACCTCATTCACTGATACCAACATCCTTAAGGATCCCTTAAACAGATTAAAAAGAGTTGTCTGAATAGAAACAGCAGTTAATTGAACCTGGTTCTTCGGGGAGTTAAGAGAGGTGAGATCTTGCTGACGTTGGTGGATCTAAGCCAAGCAGTAAACTTACATAGACTCAATAACTTCGGTCAGGTCAATTAGTAGGTCAGAGTAATTTACCGGAATACATTATCAGGACCTCGCCGACTCTAAACACTGGAGAGTCATTTCCAGGCTCCTCTCTACAGTTGTCCCCCTAAAACTGATTTGTATTAATTATTTTTGCATTTAAATGATTTATTTTATCATTAATATGGTTCCCTAACACAATACACATAGTCTGGAGCTCATTGGGGTCCTGCATATGCTTTAATCAGGCGTTTTAACACTTTTTTCCATGAAAATGATTTGTATTCACTATCATGGGGCTATATAAATCAAATTCCGGGTAATTCGGAGCACAATTGTACCTTTTACTATTTAAATGCATTTTTATTATATATGTTTGGGCTATAAAAGTGACATTTCTGGGTGACTTGGTCAGTTTATGGAGCTTAGCCCACAAATCCTGGAGGTTCCAGGCCGAATTTGGGAGCTCATAGGCGGCCTGCCATGCGCCCCCACCCGTGGAAAGAAGAAAAAAGTAAAGAAAACGGTCAATTATATCTTAAAATAATCAAAAATTAAGTTTGAAAAAATGGTTGAAAAAATGACCAATGAGTGCCAACAGAGAAGGGGCTTTGAAAAACTCAACCTGTTGGCGCTTCAGGCCGAAGCCCCGGACACTTTTCCACTACTCCGTTGCAACTTACAACGGAGAGGGGAAACCAAGCCTCCCCTTTTCCGTCAAAAACACTAATTTCGGATACATTTTCTCACTTTCACCCAATTTCTGTGGTTCTCCTAAAAGTTAACTCAGACTTTTGTGACTGTGGAGGAATGACAGGGGAGTCGACAGGGGACTCTTGTGGGCTCACGAGGCACTATTTTCGGATAATTTTTTTCATTTTCATGCATTTTTCCATGGATGAATTATTTTATTTATTTAAACTTTTTGGTAAATTTCACCCAGTTTTGGCCACCGCCTTGCCTGGAGGATAGGACCGAGAGATGACAGACTCTCTTGCGGGCTCATGAGGCACTATTTCCGGATACTTTTTTTCATTTTCACCCATCTTCCCATGTTCTCCAAAAACTTGAAACTGACTATTTTGCCTGTGGAGGAATGACATGGGAGTTGACAGGGGACTCTATCCGGGTTATGAGGCACTATTTTTGGATACATTTTTACATTTTCACCTCTTTTGCCTGGTTCTTTTTTTTTTCTTTCTGTTTTGGCCTGTTTCACCCGGTTCCTTCTACCGGGGGCACTGCCCCCACGACCTTTGTCCCCCCCCCCCAACTCAACCGTACATTAACGGATTTTGTCCATTTTAGCTGCGTTCTTCTCCTCTCACCTCACTGATCGAATGGCAAACGCGACCCGCCATCGGAGGGCCTCCGCCGGCCTGGCCTCGTGCCGATGTTCTGGCGGTCGGTTCCTCCGAACTGCGGGTTCTTCTCCTCTGACCTCACTGATCGAATGGCAAACGCGACCCGCCATTGGAGGGCCTTCTCCCCCGGTCCACGTGCCGGTGCTTTGGCTGTCGGTTCCTCCGAACTGCGGGTTTGACTCTGATGGCCGGGAGGGTGTGCTGCGTGGGGGTAACCCTGCGTGTCTCTTACCTCCCGGGCAGACCGATATGAAGACGAATCGTCTGACTCAGGGGTCCCACCACGGGATCCGCAGCGGGGTGGAAGTTCCACCTCCCCACTTCGCAGCGGAGTGCCAGGCAAACATCTGTTTCTCTAATCCTCCACTGTTGCATTGCGGCCTTAGTCGGCTGCGGCATTCAGCAATTGGCCTTGCTCCGGGCACCAGTTCCCTCTGGGACCACGGCTCAGTGGCTTCACATGATATAGGGTCGACCCTACTTCATCACAGGCTACCTGTTTGATCCTGCGTAACAACCACATATGCTTGTCTGCAAAGATGAAACTGCCTGGTCCCGCTCTGGTGTTCCTCTACGGCTAGTGTCCAGCCGTCAGCTGCGGTATCAGCAAATTTGACACGCCATCGGAGGGCCTCCTCCCCGGGTCCACGTGCCTGTGCTTGGCGGTCGGAGGAATGATATTTTGCAGGACATGACGGAGCTCAGG